TACAAAATAAACTTGTGGAAAATTATTTATTTACAGGATTTAGTGACCAGGATTCTGATAATAGCAGGATTGTGGTGAGAATTAGCGATGTGCGTAGTATGATGGGAAGAATAAGCTTGGTGAGGTGGGAAGGAGAGGTGGCATCATCTCCTAGCTTCGTCTGCTGGCTGCTGTGTGACATGCCATGCAGTTTTTTGTTGGCACTATGTTGTTTAGACACCATACCAGCTTAGTTATACAGTTATGGTGAACAAAACATGTAGATACTTATATATAACATGTGTATATAGTGTAATAAAAGCACAAACAGTATTGTGGGAGGAGGAATATTGGCGAGTTAGGTGTTGAAGGAGTGTGGGAGGGCTGAATGGGTGTGGCAGCCTACTCTTGTTTTTTGGACTCACCATACTAGCTTAGTGGTTCATTATGGTGAACACATATGTAGATGTGTATATACAGTGTGTGTATATAGTGTAATAACAGCACAAACACCGTTTGATTGATCATAATATATATGTCACATATATGAGCCCCATAATTTTTTAGCATAGTGATGTTCCACACTTTGAACTATATAAATTCCACAAATTACACACTTTTGAATAATATTACAGCAAAAAACCCAGAGAAGAAACAAATGAGAAACTTCAAAATAATTGTGAAACATTACATTCGCGGCAACTGCCGTCCCACGGGTGGTGGGGCCTAGTGACTTTGAGCGCTCCATCGCTCAGCGCCTATAAATTGCTCAACTTCCCAGCGCCATCACGGCTAAAGTATGTCACATACAATATTTTTTTTTAGCTTCCAGTGATCAGACAACATTTTAACAATATAAAAAGATTAACAAAAATTTTGGAAAGAATTTATTTTCGGCGCTCCACGGGGGTATCATATTTTAATGCAGAGCAGTGCAGTGGTTAAGGCTTTTTTGTGGTTAAGCCTTGGGAGAAAGTGAGTCCATGCACTGCTAGTGGTGTTTATCCCCTGTGATAATACTGTGCTTGTATGTTGGAAGATAAGCCAAATGTAGATGTAATAAGCACAGACTTTGCAAAAGCTTTCGACAAATGTGGCCATGGTGTTACTGTGCATAAAATGTGCACAACAGAAATTACTGGCAAAGTAGGTAGATGGATTGGATCTTCAACTTCCTAATGAACAGAACACAGATTATAATAGTTAACACAGTAAAATTCGGATCATCTACTGTGAAAAGCTCAGTCCCCCCAAGGTACCATACTTCCTCCGATATTTTTTCTCATCCTCGTATCAGACATGGACAAGGATACAAACTACAGTACTATATCATCATTTGCAGATGACACTAGGATTTTCATGCGAGTAGACAATATAGAGGACACGGAAAACCTCCAATAACATGTAAATCGGGTCTTTCAATGGGCCACAGATAATACAGTATGATGTTTAATGAAAATAAATTCCAGCTCCTGCACTAAGGAAAAAACGAAAATGTAAAAACCGAAACCATATATAAAATGGAATCAAATTACATGACAGATTGAAAAAGCAACGTAAAGGATCTAGGAGTAATCATGTCAGAAGACCTTACCTTTACAGAACACCATAAAGTAACTGTCACGACTGCAAGAAAAATGATAGGTTTAATAACAAGGACCTTCCAAACAAGGGATGCCATCCCAACGATGATACTTTTCAAGACACTAGTGCTCTCTAGGATGGAATATTGTTGCACACTAACAATCCCATTCAGAGACAGAGAAACTGCTGACCTAGAGAGTGTGCAAAGATCTTTTACTGCTGGAATCCACTCTATAAGTCATCTTAATCATTAGGATAGATTTAAAGTTCTAAATCTGTATTCTCTAGAGCATGGGCGAGAGAGATACATAATAATCTACACGTGGAAAATATTAGAGGAACTGGTTCCAAATCTGAACACGGAGATTACATCACATGAAACCAGTAGGCATGGCAGGATGTGCAAAATAGCTATTGAAAAGCAGTGAGGTGCAATAGGTATGCTGAGGATAACTCCATCAACATCAAGGGCTTAAGACTTTTCAACACACTCCTATACATAAGGGGCATAACTGGCCAGCCTCTCACAGTGTTCAAGAGGGAACTTGACAAACACCTCCAAAGAATACCTGATCAACCAGGCTGTGATTCATACGTCAGGTTGCGTACAGCTGTGTCCAACAGCCTGGTTGACCAGATGACCAGGTGGGAGGCCTGGTCAGAGACTGGGTCATGAGGCCATTGATCCCTGGAACCTCCACAAGGTAGACACAAGATAGGTAGATACTGTGGAGGACTGGTCCGTGAACTGTTAGAAAATTGTCCTCACCGGTGCAAGTACCTCAGAAGAAAGGCACCCAGGGAAGGAACCCTGAGTGTTGTGCTAGAGGGGGGATTGACTGTGATAGAAGATTGCAGAGGTTTTTGTGGTGTCCTGAGTGAGTGATACGTGGGGTGTTATCTGTGGTGTATATATGTATTGTGTTTATTTCTTGTAAATAATTACCTGTACATAATATTTAAGTAAAGGGACGACGACATTTCGGTCCGTCCTGGACCATTCTCAAGTCGATTCACAATCGACTTGAGAATGGTCCAGGGCAGACCGAAATGTCGTCGTCCCTTCACTTTCTAGTGTGGTTTGGTTAACATATTTCAGCCACGTTATTGTGACTCCTCGTCTGCATAGTATTTCAGTACATTTGGTGATGGTTTTGTCTAGTGTTGTTTAATCCCCCTTCCCCCTTTGGTTGTCAATTACTGCTCAATCATTATCATGTCTATTCATGATAACTTTACCCAGACCTGGGGTTGGATCTGTAAAGAAAGAGGCACTAAGGCCCTAGAGAGAGAGAGACAAGAAACAGAACCCGAGTTACTGGCTGAGAGAGACCGTAACAGGGATCCTTCGGTCCTTTCCTCTTTGAAGGTGGGCTCTGTGGGTGGCTTGACTTCTAGATTCTCAGAGTTTGGCTCTCCATGTGGTTCATGTGCGGGGTGTATCCAACTTTCCCATGGATAGTCCCTCCTATTTCCATCCCACTTCCAAGGAGTGGAAATGGGATGGAATCAGAAGAGGCAGCCCCCGAAGTCACCCGAGCCTCATCCCGAGCTAAACCCTGCCTCGACTCTGATACCCTCAGATGTTTGGGAGCCAGAAGCAGGGAGGAGAAGCAGGGCGAACCCCACCAACCTGGGAAAGAAAAGGGGAAGCGCAGACAGAACCAAGGCCAAAGCGACCAACATCCCCAATCCGAGTCCCTAAAACCCAAGCGCGGCAGCTCCGGGACCTAAAACCAGGCAACCAACCAGGGCCTGTTGCAAAAAGGAGAATCAACCATGCAATGCGACCACTGCCTGATACCTGAGATCATAAGATAAGGGATGAGTTAATAGAAGCACAAGCGGGGAACAAGTTCCACAAGACTCCAGGTCGTAGGTGAACCTGACCCAACAGGCAGCCTGATGGAGGCAATTCAGATGATCGTCTCCCTAAGGCAGGGGGAAAACGAACAACCTTCAACGTCACACAAGGCAAGAGTGAGCTCGGAAGAAGTATCCATGGTACGACCAAACCCATTCGCGTTTTCCAGGGCCCGTAGAGTGAATAAGCCCTACGGAAAGCCCAGGCACTGGGACCAGCAAAGCCGGTAGAACCCTGTCTGTAGCCGGCAAACTGACTACCAGTAGCAGCTTTGAAACCATGGGAGCAACAGAGGAGGACTACCAACACAACCTAGGCTAGCCATATGAGCTAAGCAGACCTCTTCTCTCCATAACATGTGAAAATGCCAGAAAATGAAAAAACAAAATCCCCTGAAATCACACAACAAACTAGCAGTCAGAGAAAATCATTGGGTACTGCATTGATAGTAAAGCTGGCTGCGCTAGTCACAGCGCAACCCCCGGCATCCAGAAACACTCCCTTACCCAGGGCAAGACGGAAAGCTTCAAGACCCTCAACACACCCCAAGGGCGAAGACAACCACAGCGAGGAAGTCCTCAATTGGGAGTAAATCCCGAACACCCAAGGAAAGATAACCCTGAAATGCAAGGGTAGTACTTATGGAGCACCTAGGGAAGGAAACCCTAGGCTCATGCAGCTCCTGTACACTAATACACCTGGCCATCACACAAAACACAATCCAGAACAGTCACACGGGGCAAAAATCCAGAACAAGAATTTGAGGCCAGATGTGATGCCCAACCGCCAGCACTTCAGTTCAAGAACTGGAGTTGTGGGCAGGCGGCTCACCTAGGGTAGCCCCCCCCCCTCCCCGCGAAAGGGAAGGGGGCTAGTTTAATGACGTGTTGCTTGCTTGTTTTCATTCTAGGGGAGATTTTTTGCTCTTTAGAGGACATAACTTATATTGTGCAACCAGACAGTGGTCTGTTTTTATTCATTTACCTTTCTGGGTTCTTTCCCAGTCGATGGCAATTATGACAAAATTTAAATGTAAAGTGCTCATAGACCATTACTCCCTGTGCCTCTCTGAGGGGGCCAGGTTCTGGCTCATGGTCCCTGGTAGGTAAAGGACTCTGTGACTAATGAACCTTAACTAATATAGCACATATTAGTCCCAATAGCTTCAGGGAGACAATAGGGCTCCCCCACGAAATTGGTGTTTTTACATTCTTGCAAAGCCCAAAGAAATACATGCATAGTATTTCGGTCAGGTCCGTAATCTAACAGATAACAGATACTTTGCAGTTGTCTGTTTTGCTTCACATACTTTCTGGATGCATCCTTTGGTGAGTGTAATGATAAAGATTCCCCTGGTCACTATGTGTCTATGAGAGGGAGCAGGACCCGGCTGTAATCTGTGGTAGGCTATTATGGACTCGTGGGGCTCGTGTGTGCCCTTCCTCAGTGTGGCTACCTTCACCAAGCCACCCAAACCCAACCAGAAAGAAGCAATTCATTACATTCAATTTAGGTTAGGCCAGAAATAATATTTCTAAACTTATAAACTAGGAAATTAATTAGCAAGACTCACCAACTCTGCGGCCCAACAGATGACACATTAAGTCGTACTAGATGAACTTTAAGCTTCTCTTTCAGGACAGCAGTAATTTTCTCAAATAACTGATATTTCTGAATAAAGAAACATAAGGCAAATCAAAACCCTGACAATGGTTATGTTTTCAAAAACAAACTAAAGGTGCAAGGTTAAACGGCTACAGCTAGATCAGAGTCCTCTCATTAGATGATCAACATACAGTACTGTACAAGGATGATACTGCATTTAATACTGAAATCTTAATTCTTGCTTCAAGCTCTCTTTTCTCTGAGTTTCCTTAATCTTTCCTGCTCCCTTATTCTAAAAGTTGATTAAAATATCTAGTGTTATACCATAAACAAAACTCTAGTGATCATGCTAACTGTAGTTAGAATCTTTTACTAAATCTACACCTAAGTTAACACTTTCGCTCGGGGATGACGCAGCATTGCGTCATCCGTTTACTGGCGGTAATGCCGGGGATGACGCAGCATTGCGTCATCCGTTTACTGGCGGTAATGCCGGGGATGACGCAGCATTGCGTCATCCACTTTAAAAATTCGCCAAAAATCAGGTTTTTATCCGATTTTTTTGGGACTGGTTTTAAAATGTGCACCGATGTCTTCCCATTTTCTTTGTTGAGCCTCGTGGCCCTCAGGCGGCTTGGCACATGCCGTGGGCCCATTGTCTTTGCTCCACTGTTGTGACCAATGTCGCCTCCCCTCGCATCTCAAACGTGTGAACATTTCGGCTATTTCCCGTGGCTATATTTCTTACTGCGGCTTTAGAAACTATCTACGCTTACTCCACGATGGATAGTAATCATGAACAAGGCCCTTCCAGGAAGAAAATTGCGAAAGAAAGGCTTGAAAAGGGTGGGAATTGGGAGTGTAGCAGGAAGGCCTCTGAGCACTCACTCACGGCTAACGCGTGGCCTGTCTTCAACTCGTCGGCGGTTGGAGCGTGACCAGGTTTTTTTTTTTATATGCTAATGTTCCTCTAGAGAATTTTATTACGAACCCATTGAGACCAAATTGAAAGACCTAGGACAAAAATTGAGGTGACCAGAGTGAAAATAGTGAAAACATTTTATCACGTTTGCGCACTCCCGGGTAACTCGTTCGCACTTTCTCTGTTTGCTGCAGGTAATTAGCTGGGCTTTTGGAGTTTATATGCATTTAGTGTTGTAGAGAATTTTATTGCGAACACAATGATACCAAATTTAATCTCGTAGAAGGAGAATTGAGGTGACAAAGTTGAAGAGAGTATACACTTTTCGAAATTAACGCGCGCTTCCGTGACACGCTGGGGCCCATATCGCCCTGTCGAGGGGTGGCGCGCGGGGTGAGCGAAAGTGTTAAATAGTAAATCTATAAATTTAAATAAGTTAAATAAATTTACTAAGTTAAATAAATTTACTAAGTTAAATAGTAAATATAAGCTATTGCATGATGGTACAGAATTGCATAGAAAACAGTTGTAAGTTAAGATGGAATACTGATTAATAATTAAAGGTGGATGAAATCAAATTTAAATTTTTTACATAAAAATTTAATGGGGTTGTGTACCTGTTGACGAGGTAAGACACCTGACACAGCCTCATGTAGCTTAGTTACAGCCTTCAAGATCCCTGTAAAGACTGGAGAAGGGACAGGAGAGCGTGCCTCCCAGGTGGCTAGCTGCCGTTCTAGCGTGTCGCTCATTACACCTACAATTTTGGCTTCTATAGCTTCACAGTGCTCTTGGTACTCTCTTGTTACCTGTCAAAATGTTGGTATATCATTGTTGCAACAGCAAAAATAATAATCATGGTTTTACAATCCCAAATTATTTGCCCAAAACAATGGAGTCAGGAGACACAAAAGTATCCCCCCTGACTAAATAAGATCAAACTAGAAAACTGGAGCTGAACATGAAGTTACTAAACTGACCTATAGCTATGGACAACACGAGCAACACCTCAAGTGTCACATCCTTAAATGATGTGGACACCTGATACCTTAAATGATGTGGACACCTGATACCTTAAATGATGTGGACACCTGATACCTTAAATGATGTGGACACCTGATACCTTAAATGATGTGGACACCTGATACCTTAAATGATGTGGACACCTGATACTTTAAATGATGAGGATACCTTAAATGATGTGGACACCTGATACCTTAACCCTTAACCCTTACACTGCTCAGGGGTCCTTGGGACATTTACACCCCTGTGCGCAAGAAAAAAAAAATTCAAAAATTTTTTTTCGTCTTCTAAACATGTTAATTTGTGTCCCCTGAGCACGGAAAAAATAAAAAAAAAATCGTAGGTGACATATTTTGGGCGCAATTGACCGAGGAAGTCTGGCAAAAAGTGGGCGTTGACAGAGCGGTCGTCAGACCCGGTCAGCGTCACCCGCGTTGACAGATGGGAGTTGCCGCAAAGATATTATTACCTAATTGTTTCAATGTCTCCGATTGATTTTTTCTTAGTTTTTTTGCAGTAATATTATTAAATAGTGTGTATTGTAATATATTTATATAATAAAAGTGGTTAATAATCGCTATACTCAAAAGTATGATGTGCATATTAGTGATTCAATTATTATGTTTATTAAACAATAAACAAATAGTTTTGCTGCTATTACACTCTATACACAGGTTATATATACTGTAAGTATTGGCATGTTTTGGTCACCATAACGAACCACTAAGTTGGTATTGAGAGTCGAAAAGCAACGAGGAGTTACCGCCACACACCAGCCAGCCACTCGCTGCCACTCCCTCAACACACGCACTAAACTTTCTCCCCCAACAATACCATTTGTGGTGTTATCACACTATATACATACGTTATATTTAAGTATGTATATATTTTGTTCACCACAACTGTACAGCTAAGCTGATATAGTTAGTTCAGGCACTAAGAGTCGTCGCTATACACAGATGGCGGCTGGCAGCTCCCTCACTCTTTCAAGGTCACACGCACTAAACTTTCTCCCCCAACAATACCTTTTGCAGTGTTATTACCCTATATACACATATTATATATAAATATCTACATGTTTTATGCACCGTAACTGTACACCTAAACTTGTAGTGCGCCCAAAGAGCATAGTGGCCACCCTCTAAACAGCTAGACAAATCGTGCAGACGACGTCACCTCCGTCACCCATATGGCTCCTCCCAGCATAATCCTTTTGCTGTTATTACACTAATACACACATTATATATAAGTATCTACATTTGTGTTCACCATAGAGAACCACTGACCTGGTATGGTGAATGCAAACAATAACAGCTAGCCACACAGTCAGTAAACGATGCTATCTCCCTCCGTCTCTCAGCATCACTCCTCACACAGCGCTAATTATTACAACAATCCTGCTATTATCACAACCCTGGTTATTTATATCACAGTCATTGGTCATCTGTTAATATTGTCATCGCTAAATAATAACAATTATATATTTATTTTGACATTTTTCGGCGATGCTGTGGTCACAAGCTGAACATCAATGCTGTTCGCTCATGCTGCGTGCGCCGGCCTTGGTTGCTCCAACAGTACTGTGCCTCTCACACCTGAGAATATTGCCCACGATTTTTTTTTTAAATGGCATCTGTTTACAAGAGCCCTGAGGAAGCTACTGTGAACCCCGTGTAACCGCGGGCCATTTGAATCAGGCCTGGCACCCTATGGCGTATATATACGCCATGCGCACCATGGGACATGTTACTCAGGGCGTATATATACGACATGAGTAACATATCCCACGGTGTGCATTGCGTATATATATGCCATAGAGTGCCAGGCATGATTCAAATGGCCCGTGGTTACACGGGGTTCACATTAGCTTCTTCAGGGCTCTTGTAAACAGACGCCATGTTTAAAAAAAATCGTGGGCAATATTCTCCGGTGTGAGAGCCACAGTACTGTTGGAGCAACCAAGGTTGGCGCACACAGCATGAGCGAACAGCATTGCTGTTCAGCTTGTGACCACAGCATCACCAAAAAATGTCAAAATAAATATATAACTGCTATTATTTAGCGATGATAGTATTACAGATGACCCCTGACTGTGATAAAAATGACCAAGATTGTGATAATAACAGGATTGTTGTGATAATTAGTGCTGTGGAAGGAGTAATGCTGAGGGACAGAGGGAGATAGCATCATTTACTGACTGTGTAGCCACCTGTTATTGTCTGCATTCACCATACCAGCTCAGTGGTTCTCTATGGTGAACACAAATGTAGATACTTATATATAATGTGTGTATTAGTGTAATAACAGCAAAAGGATTATGTTGGGAGGAGCCATTTGGGTGACGGAGGTGGTGTCGTCTGCATGACTTGGCTGACTATGTGGAGGGTGGCCACTATGCTCTTTGGGAACCCTACAAGCTTAGGTGTACAGTTACGGTGCATACAACATGTAGATATTTATATATAATGTGTGTATATACTATAATAACACTGCAAACAGTATTGTTGGGGGAGAAATTTAGTACGTGTCACCTTGAATGAGTGAGGGAGGCAGCTGACTGTGTGTAGCAATGTCTCTTAGTGCCTGAACTAACTATATCAGCTTAGTTGTACAGTTGTGGTGAACAAAACATATAGGTACTTATATATAACGTCTGTATATAGTGTAATAACACCACACACGGTATTGTTGTGGGAGAATGTTTAGTGCGTGTGACCTTGAATAAGTGTGGGAGGCAGCCATCAGCTGACTGTATGTAGTGACAACTCTTAGTGCCTGAACTAACTATATCAATTTAGTTGTACAGTTGTGTTGAACAAAACATCTAGATACTTATATATAATGTCTGTATATAGTGAATAAAATAAAAAACAGGATGGTGGGAGGAGAAAGTGGGTGAGTGAGGTGTTGTTGAGGGAGTGGCAACGAGTGGCTGGCTGGTGTGTGGCGGTCACTTCTCGTTGCTTTTTGACTCTCGATACCAACTTAGTGGTTCGTTATGGTAAACAAAACATGCAGATACTTATATATAACCTGTGTATAGAGTGTAATAACAGCAAAACTATTTGTTTATTGTTTTATGAACATAAGAATTGAATCACTAATATGCACACCATACTTTTGAGTATAGCGATGATTCACCCCTTTTATTATATAAATGTATGACAATACACACTACTGAATAATATTACTACAAAAAAACTAAGAAAAAATCAATTAGAGACATTGAAATAATTAGGTAATAATATCTTTGTGGCAACTCCCACCTGTCAGCTCGGGTGACGCTGACTGGCTCTGACAACCGCTCTGTCAACGCTCACTTTTTGCCAGACTTTCTCGGTCCATTGCGCCCAAAATATGTCACCTACAATTCTTTTTTATTTTCCCGTGCTCAGGAAACACAAATTAACATTTTTAGAAGATGAAATAATGTTTTAGAATTTTGTTTTCTTGCACACAGGGGTGTAAATCTCCTCAGGACCCCTTAGCAGCTTAGGGGTTAAAATTTCAACTGGGTACCTTGAAGTTACCTTGAGGTGCTTCCGGGGCTTAGTGCCCCCGCGGCCCGGTCGTTGACCAGGCCTCCTGGTTGCTGGACTGATCAACCAGGCTGTTAGATGCGGCTGCTCGCAGCCTGACGTATGAGTCACAGCCTGGTTGATCATGTATCCTTTGGAGGTGCTTATCCAGTTCTCTCTTGAACACTGTGAGGGGTCGGCCAGTTATGCCCCTTATGTGTAGTGGATGCCCCTTATGTGTAGTGGATGCCCCTTATGGGTAGTTATGCCCCTTATGGGCAGTTATGCCCCTTATGGGTAGCATTTAGTTGCTTCTGAAATACTTTCTTATTGAGGTTATCCAGAGTACAATTGATAGAGCTACTGTCTATGCCTGGAATTGGTGGTTTGAGTTTCCTAGTGCCCAGGTGAATGAAATATTACCATTTATATAAATATATATAATATATTTAAATAGTGTACCTGAAATAGGCGCTTAACTATTAAATCACTCAACTAGCCACCAACTGTCCAGTCACCCCAGTGATTTCCAGCGACACTCAGTGCCGTCCAGCGACACCCAGTGCCATCCAGCAACTCCCCAGTGTCATCCAGCCACACCCCAGTGCTGTCCAGCCACACCCCAGTGCTGTCCAGCCACACCCCAGTGCTGTCCAGCCACACCCCCAGTGCCGTCCAGCAACCCCCAAGTGCTGTCCAGCCACCCCTCATCTCTGACTAACCACCCCATCACTTGTCCACCCACCCTTCCCATCTGTGTCCAGCCACCCCTCATCTCTGACTAACCACCCCATCACTTGTCCACCCACCCTTCCCATCTGTGTCCAGCCTCCACTCATCTCTGACTAACCACCCCATCTCGGACCAGCCATCTCCCATCTCTATCCAGTCATCCCCCCCCCCCTCCATCTGAGTCCAGCCACCCCCCATATCCATCTCTGACTAGACATCCCCATCCCTGATGAGCCACCACCTCACTCTTGACAAGCCACCCCATCTCTAATGAGCCACCCCTCCCCATCTTACTCTTAACCAGCCACCCCATCTCTAATGAGCCCCCCCCACTCTTGACCAGCCACCCCATCTCTAATGAGCCACCCCTCCCCATCTTACTCTTAACCAGCCACCCCATCTCTAATGAGCCACCCCCACTCTTGACAAGCCACCCCATCTCTAATGAGCCACCGCCCCAGTATTGACCAGCCACCCCCCACTATTGACCAGCCACCACTGTCCAACCCATCAGCCACCTGTAGATGGGAAGGGCCTGCTGTACAATGCAGATTAGAAATAATAATGAGCTGTAGTGTAGCAGTTATATTGAAAAGTAATATAACTGCTCCAAACTCTCCTTAGTTGCAATGTAGGTACCGTAATTAGATGTTCCTCTTAATTTAATTAACTTAACTAAATTTAATTAATTTAATTAATTTTAATTAACTTATCCCTGAGAATTCCTCTTTCCAAGAAGATAATAATTACAATTATTATCTCTTTCCGAGCGAACAGGCATCAATCAGGCCAGCCAGGTAGCCTGCAAAGACATTTGTCGATTTGGCAAGGTGAGGAGACGCTTGTAATATAAGCCCCAAGAACGGAAGCGTCGTTAGTCAATCTAACTTAAATTGTTGTTTAGTATAGATGCTCTAGAGATACACCTCAGATCTTCAACACCATCGACATTCACCAGCAACACTAACACTCGTCGAGTCCAGTTCCAACTCTAACAAGTTGCTTCAGCCTCGTTACAGAGTAGACAGCCAGATTCTAGCCATAACCAAGCTTCCAGCTCTAGTCCTGCATTCGAGCTCTTCGATCCCTCTGCATTTGAGTTCCATGCTCTCACCCCTCATCTGAGCTCTCTGCCCCCGCCTCACTCTACCTCTCTGCTCCAGGCCTCATCTCAGCTGTCACAACACTCCACTACAAATACCGACTGCTGTAACCAAGACTATTAAATAAACATCGAAAATCACTAAACTCTTTGTGTCTTTGACCTAAACTCAAATATGTAAACATACATTACAAGACATAATATAGGCAAGAAAATAAAAATGGATAACAGTATAAACATTTTCCACAGGAAAGAGCACAGTACAACAAACCAGAATACAGTACTTTATTAAACTCGTGCTGCAAGCTTTTGGATACTTACTTGTTCAATATTTTTGGAAACAATATTAGGGCGGAGAAGGGTTGAAAAGTGAGTGTTGAGGCGGGGCAATAATGTTAATAACAATTGCAACGAGCGCCACGCTAATGCCAAGTTCCGAGTTGTTATAGTTTTCAGTCCAAGGGCTACAGCTCCTGCCTCAATCAAAAGTCTGAAATGAAACACAGTACAAAGATCGAACTACAGAAACTCTGCCATGTGGATGATAATATAAATGCAACAAATTCAAATAAGCTTAGATAGTAAAATACACAAATAATTTAGAGCAAGAACAAAACCAGCGTTGAATGTAATGAAATGCCATTCTCTGGGTGAGACCCAGAGGCTCCCCAGAGCTTACTAGCTTACTAGGCTGATATGCTAATGTAAGACTTTGGCATCAGTCATGTGTATGGAGTTCTATGGGCCTACCGGGGACCATGAGCCAGAACCTGGCCCCCTCAGAGAGGCATGGGGAGCAAAGGCCTATAGAAACCCCCCGTGTGGTTGGAAGCATTCTATGTTTGCCATCGACTGAGTCAGGCACACAAAAAGGTAAGCGTCCCAAAACAAACCCCCTATTCTGGTGAAAATAATGCTACCAAAAGCCGAACAAATGGATAGAACTCCCCTAAACGAAACAAGCAAACGATCATGATGTCACACGTCGCCGTGCTGCTGTCTGCATAGCTTCCTCCGCCCCGGGAGGGTAAAGGGGGAGCTCCAGACCCCCACCCAGCTATCCACCCTTCAGTTCTGAGGCTGGATGTCAAAACAGGCAAAAAAAACACCGTCCGGGGGGAGGGAGGGATGCCAGGGAGCCTCTGGGTCTCACCCAAAAAATGCCGTTTCAGTACAGTACATTCTACATTGGTTTTCTGGGGTGAACCCCTTCGGCTCCCCGGAGCTAACTACCCACAGAAGAAAAAACATAGGGATTTACCCGGGAGGTGGTCGCTGCTCACGCCTCAACTCGAAGTCGAGAGAACTGGCTGCAACCACCGACCCAAAGCGACACAGGCCTGACAAGGCCCAGGCACTCTTGGTGTCAAGGCCACGACCTCGTTCACAAGGTAACAAGCAGCCAGGACCCTGTTTGACCACCAAAAACCCTGCGCCCGAATGTCAGCCCACGACATGTTGCCAAAGACGGCAGCAAGAGCAGCGAACTAACGAACGTCATGGGCACGGGAATAGACCGCAGGCTGGTTAGCCTTAATAACTCTGCGGACAACCTGGGAGACCCACACCCGCGAACAGAGAAGGGAAACCGGATCAACCCAAAGCTCGTCCCCAGACACAGACGCCGTGGCACGTAAATAACAGCGAAGAGCCACAACCGAACACAAAACATGATGCACCCCCGGACTAACCAACCAAGCATCCACAACCCAGGGACCCCTCCGGAAAGCAGCAGTCTCATTCTTTGCAAGAAAAGAAGGAGATGGCTGCAAACAAACAAAACCATCACGAAGACCGAAAGAGCAGAAACCCCTGTGCCAGAGGAGAGCATGAAGCTCACTAACCCGACCCCCAGAGGCCAATGCCAACAGGAAAAAGAGCCTTGGAGAAACAATCCAAAGGGGCCACAACAAACCGAGGAGAAGAAAGATAAGAGAGCACTCTGTCCAATGACCAGGATGGCTCAGGAGGCACATGAGCAAGCCGGATGTGAAACAACGCCCGAGACAGTTTGTGAAACAGTGCAGAAGTAACATCAATACCGAAAGCAAGCTGAAGCGGCTCCGCCAGCACCGCACAATACGAGGCAACAGTGTTAGGCATAAGGTGATGGTCCTGGAACAATCAAGAGAGAAAAGGCAAAGATTCCGATTCCAAAGAGGAGGCAAGCACCACCTGTCGACACGCGAGTCGGGAAGCGTAAAACTGGGCAACCACATCCCACAAGATGTGCACAAACCGCTTCAACACGGCAGCCGAGACTCGAGAGAGACTCCCTTGAAGACCGAAGTGGGGAAGGGTTCCATGTGAACATCAGGCTAAGGCCTGATTCCCACGCTAGCGGCAACGGCCAATGTGAGCCAATTAGGTGCAAGTACGTAAGTGCCGATGACAAACTAAGTACAAGAAGTTGCCCGGGGATCAGTGGCGAAAGGGAATACGGTACTTATTCTGTAACCAGGACCCGGATACGGAGCAGGTGCAAGTGCCTTTGCCCTCGGGCGTTGGAATGCTGCCCTGTGCAGGACCCTGGTAACGGGAAGCGGCTCGCGTCCGCCAGCGGTGGTCCGGGAAAGAGTTTTATTTTCTGTTTAAGGCGCCGTGACCCTGGAAGCCATTCACAGAGAGAAAGGGTATTGGTAACACGGTCTGCCGTAGAGCGCCGCGGTTCTTGCGGCGTCCCACGTGCCACCGCTGGTCCATGAAACATGCGAGGCAGGTAACTGAGGCAGTGGGGGTCTCCATGCCCACAACGCCTAGTTTCGGGCCAGTGCGTACCCATGTCCGCAGCCAGTCTCCAAGGTAAGCAGCCTCTGGTTGATAGACTAATGTAGGTAAGGGAAGTCGGCAAATTAGATCCGTAACTTCGGGATAAGGATTGGCTCTGAGGATCGGACCAGTCGGGCCTGTGCAGGAAGCGGGCCTGGATTTGGGCGCAGGACTGGGCGAGGTGAAGGTCAGGGACGTCTGCTCTGTCGGGCCAGCTGTCCTGAACCGAGCTCGGACCGGCGTATCTCTGTCCCTTCTGTGGAACGCGCTAGGCTGCTTGGGCGTGTTCTCGAGCGGCGCGGCGTGCCTGTCCCCCCCTCTATTTGGAGAGGGTGGGTGCAAGGCGTCGTCCCAGTTCACTCCAAACCCACTTCGGCTGGCGCCCAGCGATCAACTCAGAACTGGCACAGACCAGGGGAATCCGACTGTCTAATTAAAACAAAGCATTGCGATGGTCAGAGATAGATGTTGACGCAATGTGATTTCTGCCCAGTGCTCTGAATGTAAAAGTGAAGAAATTCAAAGAATGCGTTTAATGGCTTGCTGAAAACAAGAGTCGTACTGCTTCCTCAGTAACTCGCTCATTTCTTTGTTGTCATCAGTGAAAGTTCCATCTCCCTTTCGCAGGGGAAAGGCCGCGGCCGCGTGCTGTCGGCCGAGCGGACAGCACGCTGGACTTGTGATCCTGTGGTCCTGGGTTCGATCCCAGGCACCGGCGAGAAACAATGGCCAGAGTTTCTTTCACCCTATGCCCCTGTTACCTAGCAGTAAAATAGGTACCTGGGTGTTAGTCAGCTGTCACGGGCTGCTTCCTGGGGATGGAGGCCTGGTCGAGGACCGGGCCGCGGGGACACTAAAGCCCCGAAATCATCTCAAGATAACCTCAAGATAACCTCAAGGGGCCCGATACTAGATGTAGTTTTTGATCTTGATTTTGCATAGGAGAAAAAATATTTCGGATTTCTCTCTATTTCACTGATGGCCTTTTGTTCTCTTTGCCTCTCCTGGGTTTTGTATGATTCTTGTAGCTTGAGTTCAATTGTTTCTATTTCTCTACCCAACCTTCTTCGCCATTCTTGAGATAGGGTGCGACTCAAGTTGTTCCGCAATACGTTTCCTACGCCTATATAGGGAACGACGTTCCCGTTCCAATCTGCATATCTTTCTCTTTTTTCTTAGGGGTATGCAGTTTGAACATATTTCTAGTGCTACTGAGCTTATTGGAACTGAGCTTCTGGGGTTCAGGAGTCAGGGGTTCCTAGAGCTCAGTAGCTTATTGCTACTGAGCTCTAGGAACCCATGACACAGACCCCGGGCAGAGCCCACATCCACACCCACCACCCTTGAAGAAAAGGCAGAGACCTGAGGAAAACCTTCAAAGTGAGGAGCCTGCTGGGCCGAGTCCGAAACCTCGGCAGGAAAATCAGGCTCAACCTCCATCTCTGAGTCAGAAAGGGCAACCCCCTTCCATATGCCAACAGGAGTCATCAGTGAAGGTAAGTAATAACCTGTACATACTTTTGTAGTGAAGATTTAGATGAATTAGGTATAAAATTTAGTTTGAAGTTAATTTTTTGGCGAGTCAGGAACCAATTAATTAATTTCCCATTATTTCTTATGGAGAAATTCGCTTCAGTTTACGAATTTACGGGTTACGAACCGTCTCCAGGAACGGATTAAATTCGTAAGCTGAGGTACCCTTGCAGTGTGGACGACCCGAGTAAGAGCAGCGAGGGTGTTACCAGGCGGGGTTTTGCTGCCTCAGCAACACATCGCGGCAGGCGGTAGCGTGTCTTACGGCAACAGGGCAATGACGACTGTGGCCTCTTTACATTAGGTGTTCATTAGGCCTACGATATGTAGATCAGCCTCATTTCCTACCATACCCTCACGCAGCTCCAGCATCAGACGATAAACACACACACACGCAGTGTGTGTTTGCGTTTGAATGGGCTGAGCACAACAAATGAGTCTACTGCCAATAAGAGTATAATAAGCATACAGATATAGATAAAAATACATGCCATGCACAACATAAGTGGTCTTACCTACAGGTGTCAGAGTTGAATCTTCTCAGAAGATCCGTCAGTCGGGTGAGTAGCTGCTGTGCTGCCAACCTTAGAGTTGAGGCACACTCCGAATATTCCACAATTAATCGAACTACCACTACACAAACTCCCACCACAACGTACTCCTCCCCTCCGACTATTACGCCACCACCACTATTAGTCCCACTTAAGTCACTGTTGCTACTGCTGCTCCCAATATTGGAGTTGTGTTCAGTGATGTCATTGCTGACAGTAGAGATAGTTGTATTGTTTGTAACGGACATGCAACTGGTAGTACTTGGAGTAATCCTAGTACCGTTAGTGCTGGTCTCTTTGTAAGTTCTGTCACACTGGACGGCAGGTGGAGTTACTAAAGTATCTGAGAAAAAAGAAAAACCTTATTATATATATTCAGATATGTACAGTACTTTATGCTTTGCATAAGGCTTATGCATATTAGCTCATTATTAAGAATGTAAAAAATAACAAGATGAGTGTATACAACCCACTTGTTTCTGGGCCAGTCTCCTGATCGCTGCCTTAGGAAATAGCCCATTCTATCCCGAACCAGGACAACATTCCATCCCTGGACCAGAAGGAGACTGTAACCCCTTCAAATGGAAAACTTTCTAACCCACCATGGTCTCCTGCAGGCACGTTGTAACTGAGGACAATGTCATCTATAAGCTGGAGATCCTCCCAATTTTATTGAACCCACAATAACTCCACTGGAGTATTGCAATATGTTCTAAGTTGAGCACCTTTTCAGAGGATCCTATGCAAGTGCTTGTGAGTACCCTACAATGGACGGAAGGGGGGATTTTGTAATGTCTCTGTAGGTTTGTATAGCCCTCCAAGGTTTAACAGTTCCGAGCTTTAGAGGAACCCTTATAAAACTCGTACAGTGAAGGGGGATAGGTAAACCCCACCCCCCCTGTAACAATAAGACCCGTGCCAAGGGTACCAACACTTAAGCAGGGTCAAACGGGGGCCCAAGCCCCCCAAGTCAACTCCTCCCCAGCCTCGGGATCCTCCACATCAGGACCTGGGGCCGAACCATCCTTCAAACCCTCTGCCACTGGAGAAAAGGCAGAGTCCACCGGAAAAGTAGGGATGAAGGGGACCCACTGGCACGACCCAGAAGCCCCGGCCGGAAGGAGGAACCAGCTCGAATACCTCCGCCACCGATCCGGAAGGGGCAGTCCCCAAAATCGCCCGAGTTTCACTGCCAAGGAAACCCTGCCCCAGACTCCGAAACCCTCAGATGTTTGGGAGCCAGGAGCAGGCAGGATGGGGGGGGGAGGGGGGGAAGCAGGGGGGGGGGGAAGCAGGGGGGGAAGCAGGGGGGGGGTGAGCAGGAGGGGGAGCAGGGGGGGGAAGCAGGGAAGGGGAGCATGGGGGGGCAGCAGGGGGAGGGAAGCAGGGGGAGGGAAGCAGGGGGAGGGAAGCAGGGGGGAGGGAAGCAGGGGGAGGGAAGCAGGGGGAGGAAGCAGGGGGGGAAAGCAGGGGGGGAAGCAGGGGGGGGAGGAAGCGGGGGGGATGGGAGCAGGTTGAACCACAGCAAGGAGAGGGTAAGAGGGCGCTGACGAAACCAGAGTCGTGGTGACTAACACCTCCAAGTTCAGGTCCCTATAACCAAAACGGGGCAGCCATGGGGGCATCCAGAAAGGCAATTAACCTAGAGTGTTTCAGCAACCTAAACTGCACGTGCAATACAGATGCTGCCTGCACCCGATCAACAGTATTATCGGATTGGATGAACTGGAGTACAAGCAAGGAACACCACTTGCAAGACTCCGGGTCAAAGGTGTCATTGACCCAACAAGCAGCATGGCAGAGGCAAAGACAGAGAATGTCACCCTGAGACAAGGGACAGAGCAAACTTCAATCTCACACAAAGCAAGGTGGGACTCAAAGGTCTCCTCCATTGGATAAATGAGCCTAAAGGAGGTTTCCAGGGCCCTTAGCCTGATTGCTAACGAAAGTCCAGGCAAGGTACTGCTAACCGGTTATCCCAGAACTACCAAGCAAACAAACTAAAAGCTGAACCCCTTCGACAAGCACGGGGACCTAGCAGAGGACCACCAAAATCAAACAAGTGGTCCTACAGCCCCACCAGGAAAAACAAAAGAGAAAGAAAAACTCCGCAAAAGCACAATGTCCCCATGGGAACAGAACTGGCCGCTATGCGTATATCAGACAGCTGCACAGTACCTTGCGCCCCAGCCAGCGACGAAACTACTTCCTACTCAAGGTCAAACAGGAGTAAGAACAACCCCAGCTGACCCCAAGGGTTGGCAATCACCGAGCAGCAAAAGAACCACACGGAAGTAGACTCCCGAGCGGCCTATGGAAGATAACCCTAAACTGCAAAGGCAGTACTTACAGGGCACCTAGGGAAGGTAGCCCTAGGTGCATGCAGCCCCAGTACTCTTGTGGTACTCCCGGCACACACCATCACACAGTAGAACAACACCGTTATGAACAGCACTATTCAAAAGGATGGAGCTAGAGTCGGTCGACCGCCACCAAATACAACAGCCTCTGAACTGGGGTTGAATAGCCGGCACAGGAGGTCTGGGAAACCCCCTCCTTCCCCCTCCCATGGAGGGGGGAAGTTATGCAGACAGTACTCACCTAGCTGTGTTTGCAGGGGTTGAGCTCTGGCTCTTTGGTCCCGTCTCTCAACTGTCAATCGACTGGTGTACAGATTCCTGAGCCTATTGGGCTTTATCATATCTACATTTGAAACTGTGTATGGAGTCAGCCTCCACCACAACACTACTTAATGCATTCCATTTGTTAACTACCCTGACACTGAAAAAGTTCTTTCTAATGTCTCTGTGGCTCATGTGGGTACTAAGATTCCACCTGTGTCCCCTTGTTCATGTTCCACCCGCACTAAAGAGTTTGTCTTTGTCCACCCTGTCAATTCCCCTGAGAATTTTGTAGGTGGTTATCATGTCTCCCCCTTACTCTTCTGTTTTCCAGGGTTGTGAGGTTCAGCTCCCTTAGCCTTACCTTGTAACTCATTCCTCTCAGTTCCGGAACCAGTCTGGTGGCATACCGCTGAATCTTCTCTAACTTATCTATGGAAGATAACACTAAACTGCAAAGGCAGTACTTACAGGGTACCTAGGGAAGGTAGCCCTTCCTGGCCTACCTTCCTGGGTGGAAGGTAGACAGTGGCACGACAGCTGTGGTGACGTCATGCTTGTTTGCCTATTTTCGATTGGGGAGTTCTACTTGCTAGTTCAGCTTTCGGTTTGCCATTTTTAACCAGCTGTAGTTTGTTTTGGAATTCCTACCTTTCTGGGTGCCTGACCTGGTAGATGGCAGACATAGATTGCTTCTAATTACACTGGAGTGTCTATAGGCCATTCCTCCTAGTGCCTCTCTGAGGGGTCCAGGTTCTGGTGCTGGTCCCCGGTAAGTCTAGAACTCCATTGATTGACTGTTGCCACAGTCTAATATACACACATCAGCCGGTGGTCCCCGGTAGGCAAGAACAACAATTGACTGATGCCACGGTCTAATACATACATATCAACTCGGCAAGCTCCGGGGAGCCAAAGGGGGCTCTCCACAGAAATAAGCATTGAATGTAATAAAATGCAAATTTCTGGGTGAACCCTCAAGGCTTCCTGAAGCTATCATATACTGGTCAGTGCCAAACTACTAGGTGCCATCAGTTGCAGAGTTCTACTAGATTACCAGGGACCAAAAGCCAAAACCTGGCCCCTCAGAGGCCCAGGGAGCAATGGCCTATGAAAACGCACATTTAAAGTTTAATCATACTTGCTACCACCAGGGAAGCACCCAGAAAGTAAAGGTTATCTTGAGATGATTTCAGGGCCTAGCGTCCCCGCAGCCCGGTCCTCGATCAGGCCTCCCTTTTGTTACACACTCCCAGGAAGCAGCCCGTAGCAGCTGTCTAACTCTCAGGTACCTATTTACTGCTAGGTAACAGGAGCATCAGGGTGAAAGAAACTCTGCCCATTTGTTTCTGCCTCCTCTGGGGATCGAACTCGGATTCTCACGACTACGAATCCAAAGCTTTTTTGGAATGCTAGCTTTCTTGGGGGAGCCCTGTCGGCTCTCTGAAGCTACATTAATACACCGTTTCTTCCATGAGACTACATGAATACACTGCTCTTCCATGAGGCCACATGAATACACTGCTCTTCCATGAGGCCACATGAATACACTGCTCTTCCATGAGGCCACATGAATACACTGCTCTTCCATGAGGCCACATGAATACACTGCTCTTCCATGAGGCCACATGAATACACTGCTCTTCCATGAGGCTACATGAATACACTGCTCTTCCATGAGGCCACATGAATACATTGCTCTTCCATGAGGCTACATGAATACACTGCTCTTCCATGAGGCTACATGAATACACTGCTCTTCCATGAGGCTACATGAATACACTGCTCTTCCATGAGGCTACATGAATACACTGCTCTTCCCTGAGGCCACATGAATACATTGCTCTTCCATGAGGCTACATGAATACACTGCTCTTCCATGAGGCCACATGAATACATTGCTCTTCCATGAGGCCACATGAATACATTGCTCTTCCATGAGGCCACATGAATACACTGCTCTTCCATGAGGCTACATGAATACATTGCTCTTCCATGAGGCCACATGAATACATTGCTCTTCCATGAGGCCACATGAATACACTGCTCTTCCACGAGGCTACATGAATACATTGCTCTTCCATGAGGCTACATGAATACACTGCTCTTCCATGAGGCCACATGAATACACTGCTCTTCCATGAGGCCACATGAATACACTGCTTTTCCATGAATCACAACACACACACAAATGGTAATAACAAAATCTAGCATCAAAACACATCACAGGGTTTCTCACCGGTGGCCGAGATGTGATCAAGGAGGCGCTGTACGTCCGGTGGAGCATGGACGCCTCTCCAGCGTTCACTGCTCATGTTCAGTTTGTACCGGGCTTCTCGTTCCTCGTGGAACCTCAGTACAAATCTCGTGGCCTGAAACAAAATTTGGAACACATTGAATTGATATTGATACAATTGACTAATCTGCTTTCCTTACTCTATTTCCTGTCAATACTGATTTGCCCAAGTGCATCTATAATGCTTAAGTCTCATTAGGAGTGCTACCTTTCACAATATTGATATTAATATACATAATATACTGCATTCATTTACAGAATTATTAAAATACTATTTACTGTACTGTCAAATCAATATAATAAATGGTGGGAAAACCTTGCAATAACCAATATATTTAAGAACTTTATTGTAGATAGCATCCAAACAGATACACACTATTTCTAGTTATGCATGCATTCGCACTCATAGAGAAGCCATGATCACCACATACAAAATATTCAAGTGAATATACTGATATGGCTATATCTGTATTTTCATATTTGGCCTTGTATAGACAAAGCCAAATTATTTTTATCATGAATGTTTTAAAAATAGAGGGGAACAGAGATGGAAATTAAGTACCCAAATGATCCAGAGATATTAAGAAGCTTCTGTAAGTGTGAGAATAGTGAAGAAAGGGAATGCACGACGAAATAAAGTGGTGAAGGCCACCCCCAGCCACCGCTGCAAATGCATACATGACACAGCCAAATTGATGGGAATTTGTTTACCAATCAAATAAGAGTTCAGAGACGGGATTAAAGAGTTGTTGCTCATCCCATCGAGTAATTACCTAAGTTTAATTACTTGAAGGGGATGAGCTACAACTCTTCACCTACTTACTGTAAGTAGTGTACTTACTGTAGAAAACTTCTGTAAGTAGTGTACTTACAGTAGTAAACTACTGTAAGCAAGTGCAAGTACTCACTCACTCACATATCACTCAAACTAAGAAAGATAAGAAAGGTCACCTATAAAGTTGGGCTGCTGTAGGTTAAATTAAATAAGATAAATAATTTATCTAGTTCTGTAATACAGCCCATCCTCCTAAAATGCCAGTAATTATAGTAACTAGGTATTCAAAAGTATAAATACAATGTAACCTTAGTACCGGAACAGCCCCCACTCAAACAATTTGGCACTTGAACACTGTGTTCATGTCCGGTAGTCACACTGTTTGCTTGGCACTCAAACGTAAACACGCGTCCCTGACGCATCAGTTTCCCCACAGCTGTCATTCAATGCACAACCCTACACTTTTCCACTTTTCTCTTGGATATTTTTTATATTCTTAATGTAAATAAGTCACCATATCACCTAAGAAAGTTAGTGATTAGAGCCAAGCAAAAAGAAAATGGGTTATAACCACAATAGAGATGAAGCAGGATCTCACTGCAAAATATGAAAGTGGTACTCATGTGTTTGCTCTTGCTACCGAGTTTGGTATGCCTAAAGTGACGATATCTACAATATCTTACTTAAAAATAAAGAGTCCATCAAAGCAGCTGATGTGGCAAAATGAGTGAAAGCAGTTACGAAACAGAGACCGCAGACAATTGAAGACGTTAAGAAATTGTTGTTGATTTGGATAAATGAATGACAGTTGGCTGGTGATAGTGTATCTGAGGTTATCATTTGTGAGAAAACAAAACAACTGCATGGTGATTTCTTACAGAATAACACTGGAACGAGCAATCTGCCAGCCAGAAAGACTCTGGCACTTCGTAACTCACCCAGTAAGGAAAAGAGGAGCTAAACTCAAAAGAAGAAGGATCCATTATTGAAGCATAATACGGGTCTCGCAGGAGGTAAGCCGCAATGGCCTCCTGAACCTCCCTAGGCGGGATACAGGAAGCCGAAAACCTCCAGAAAGAAGGAACCGAAGAGCCCAAGGGAATCCGAAACAGAATCCGGGGAGGAGTCGTACTCATATGAAATCCGTACTGGGAGGGAAGGGGGGGGGGGGGGAAGAAAAACCCCTCTCCCTGCAGCAACAAGCCGCATGCCAAGGGTACCAATACTCAAGCAGGGTCAAATGGAGACCTAAGCTCCTGAAGTCAACTCCTCCCCAGCCCCAGGATCCTCCACGTCAGGACCCAGAGCAGAGCAATCCTCCAAACCTTCCACCTCAAAAACGCAGAGTACATTCGATAAGCAGGGATGAAGAGGGTCTGCTGGCACAGCCCAAAAGCCCCAGCAGGAGGAACAGGCTCAAATGCCTCCGCCGCTGATCTGGAAAGAGACAATCCCTGAAACCGCCCGAGTCTCACCACCAATAAAACCCTGTCTCGACACCAAAACCCTCAGATGTTTGGGAGCCGGGAACAGGGGTGGGGGGGGGGGAAGCAGGATGAACCACAGCAAGGGAAGGACAAGGGGGAGTGGACGAAACCAAAGTCGAGGCGACTAACGCCCCCAAGTCCGGGTCCCTATAACCAATGGGGCAGCCTCAGGGGCATCCGGAAAGGCAGCCATCCGAGCAACTGAAACCACGCATGCAACGCCTAAAGCTGCCTGCACTCGCATATCAATATCAGTGGACTGGGTGAATTTGAGTAAAGGCAAGGCACACCACTCACAAGACTCCGGGTCAAAGGTGTCATCGACCCAACAGGCACCATGGCTGAGGGAAAGACAGTGATTGATTGTCACCCTTAGACAAGGGGACAGAACAACTTTCAAACGCACACAAAGCGAGATAGGACTTAGAGAATGCATCTAAGGGAAGCCCAGAGGGCTGACTGCTAAGGGAAGCCCAGGCAAGGTACTGCTAACTGGTTACCCAAACCTACGAAGCAAACAACTAAAAGCTGAACCCCTGCGACGTGTAATAACGGGGGGCATAGTAGATGGCCCACCAAAAATGCAAGTGGTCCTATAGCCACACCAGACAGACCCCCACCAGGCAAAGAAAACAAAAATTAAAAGAAAAACCCCGCAAAGGCACAACGTGTCCAGGAGAAACAGAACCGGCCATTATGCACATATCAGACAGCTGCACAGTACCTTGTGCTCCTGCCAGCGCTACCTTCTACCCAAGGTCAAACAGCAGATATAAAAACCCTCGCTGACCCCAAGAGTGGGCAATCACTGAGCAGTATAAAAACTCCTGTGGATGTAGTGTCCCGAACAGTTCGTGGAAGATAACCCCAAACCGCATGGGGCAGTACTTACAGAGCACCTAGGGAAGGTGACCCTAAGTGCATGCAGCCCCAGCACTTCTTGAATAACACCTGGCTCGCACACCACCAAACAGCAAAACCACACCGCAAGGCACAGCACTGCTCAAAATATTTTGAGCCAGAGTTGAACGACTGCCACAGAACACAACAGCCTCCGAATTGAGGTTGGGTAGCCAGCCCGAGGGGTCTGGGGCTCCTCCTTCCCCCTCCCGAGGAGGGGGGAGCTGCACAGACAGCGGCGCAGCTTCTGCAGTGACATCATGCTTGTTTGCATGTTTTCTGATTGGGAAATTCTGTTTGCTAGTTTGGTTTTAGTGTGCAATTTTCACCAGTAGTAGTTTGTTTTGGAATTCCTACTTTTCTGTACGCCTGACCCGATAGATGGTAGACATAGACTGCTTCCAACCACATGGGGGTGGTCTATAGGCCATTGCTCCTCTTGCTTTTCTGAGGGGGCCAGGTTCAGGCTCGTGGTCCCCAGTCGCTAGAACTCCAATCGAATTGACTGTTGCCACGGTCTAATATATCAGCCCGTCCTCCAAAAATGGGGAGGTAAATGTAACAGCCCCATAAGTGCAATTATGTACTATGTATGATAGTCAGGAATTGTACTTATTTCACTTAGTATTAAAACGTATCCACTCAATTTATCAGCCTATATGGGGCTGTATCCTGGTCGATATTTCCGGAGCTCCGGTATTTCCGAAGGTAAGATCTCGGTAATTTTTCACGTAACATTCAGGTAGGATATACTTTATACTGTATAACTAAAATTAAATAAAGTTCATTGTGTAATTGCGTTCCAAGTTAGTTCCTGTGTTAGTGCCCATTCTATCACAGGTTACAATTAATAATTCCTTCACATGACAAGTTGGATCACACAAGTGGACCACACAGTAAGTGAACCATATGAACCAAACACCTCCCTCCATATGTCTTCCATCCCTTCCTCACTGCCTTCCTCATAACATGAGAACAGCAGGCTACGGAGGATGGAGCTACTAACGGGGTCGAGGGAGCTACTATAACGGGGTCAAGGCCCGGCTACCCAGACATATGTCAGCGCCTGGTCACAGATGCCAGCTGTGCATAATTCATAAATAAAACTATATTTCTTTAATTAATAAATAGGAAACTATAAAACATGTTAATGATTAATAACGTATAGTAATATACAAAAATTAATATATTTTGGCATAAATATTTTACAACATTAAAATTTTTAATCCAGTATGGGTGAGAGGTTTGGCACCATCACCTTGGTCAGCAATTCTGTGCTCCGCCTTCCTTACCACCACCACCACTCTCCCTGCCTCCCTCAACACCACCACTCTCCCTGCCTCCCTCAACACCACCACTCTCCCTGCCTCCCTCAACACCACCACTCTCCCTGCCTCCCTCAACACCACCACTCTCCCTGCCTCCCTCAACACCACCACTCTCCCTGCCTCCCTCAACACCACCACTCTCCCTGCCTCCCTCAACACCACCACTCTCCCTGCCTCCCTCAACACCACCACTCTCCCTGCCTCCCTCAACACCACCACTCTCCCTGCCTCCCTCAACACCACCACTCTCCCTGCCTCCCTCAACACCACCACTCTCCCTGCCTCCCTCAACACCACCACTTTCCCTGCCTCCCTCAACACCACCACTCTCCCTGCCTCCCTCAACACCACCACTCTCCCTGCCTCCCTCAACACCACCACTCTCCCTGCCTCCCTCAACACCACCACTCTCCCTGCCTCCCTCAACACCACCACTCTCCCTGCCTCCCTCAACACCACCACTCTCCCTGCCTCCCTAAACACCACCACTCTCCCTGCCTCCCTAAACACCACCACTCTCCCTGCCTCCCTAAACACCACCACTCTCCCTGCCTCCCTAAACACCACCACTCTCCCTGCCTCCCTA